CCAGCCCCGCCGACGGGTACACAAGATGAGCCCTCAGCAACCCCACATTTATCGGAGTACCCCCTCCGTTAGTCGGCAGTCCAGGGCACTGTGTGTCCGAGTGGATCACAACGTGATTTTGCGACTCCCACTTCACCACAGCCTCCTCCATGATAAAGAGCGGATATCACTGACTTAACTGCAAACCACATAGCAAGCATTGTTAGTCAATCCAGAGTAGGACAGTGGTGAACTGCAGGTGAAGTAAACGTCATGCTTGATGAACACGATATCGTTCTACATCTTACCGATCTCCTCCTAGTTCAGTCGGTGCTCCCATGCAGCGTTTTTTTTTTGTATCTCGCGGGCTTGACTACTTGGACGGCGAGTCCGTTTGCAGGCCAGCTGCTTCAGGTGCGGATGGCAGCTCACACCAGCTCTTGATACGCGCGTAGCCTGATTGAGCTTACCAAAGACTTCCTCTCGCTCTCGCAGTTTTGCGACGACGAAATTTTCGGGGCTACTAGGCTTCTTCTTCGTCGTCGCGACGACGACGTCGTCTACCTACATGAACCCAATTTATTTATGTCCAATCACATTGGTCTGTAGGTTGAGCGGAGGTTTACTTAATTGGCCCAAAGCGGGAAACTTCGACAAAATTAACAATATTTATGCGCGTTTAAGTCGCGATTTATCTGCAGCAGATAAATCACCTGTTTAATCTATATTCGGCAGGCGTCCAGTCGCTTAAAAGACACAAAACCAAACCACAGAATACAAAATCGAAGAAGTGATTAGAATTGTAAAAGTTGAATAATGTGTATTTTTTTAAAAATTACTTTTTGTTTTTTTTTTTTAAAAAAATTAAATTTGAGTAGGTTTTTTTTTAGGGACGGGGGGTTTTTTCGTTGTTTTTTTTTCTTGTTTTTTTTAGGGTACCCGTCGGTCATGGACGCGTTCCTGCAGCTGGACGCGGGCGGAGGCGTATACGACGACGACCTGGTGGTGGGTGAACACGTAGACTTGGAGACGCAGATCCAGCGCCACATTGCGGAGACGAGTCAAGCCGATGCACTATTCGGCGAGCAGCTCTACCGTCCAGTGGGGGAGGAGGGCGTGGAGGATAACCATGGAAAGGGCCGAGACGAGCAGCTGAGCGCCGCCGAGTCAGACGAGCTGGAGCGGCAACGCTATCTGCAGCGCATTCTGTCGATCGAGAAGGGGATGCAAGAGGCAGACAACGACGTGCAGCGGCGAATCGACACGATGAAGCGTATACTGGAGCTCAAAGACCCCATGGAGCAGATGTCGGAGTACCTGACACTCAAACAGGAAGCCCGACGAGAAGACGACGTGGACATTGTGGGGGATCTGGTACACTGCGCCAACCGTATGACGAACGAGGAAGACAGCGAAGTAGCCATGTTGGGGGCGTTCTTCTTCCTGTGCTACCGGCAGCATCCCAGGACACGAGGAATGGCAGCCATGTTGCCAGTTGTGGCGGCCATGATGGAGGCATCCAACGGAATGGACCACACGCAAATTTAATGTGCACAGGACAATTGGATGGAGCGTTTTAGTATTGAATCTATGGGCGCCTTAAGACCCCCACTGGAAGAAATCACATTGGCGGTTTGGACACTTGAAAAAGGTCCGATCTTTGTTCACTCCATTCTTACACGTGAACAAGACGCCAGGCAAATTACACTCACACGTTGGCGTCTCGTTATCTCCTCTGTCGGTCGTAGAAGGCGGCATCTCGTCCTTCCATTCGAAGAAGCCGCAGGTGTCTGGTCCCTGGAAGCTGCAGGCGTAAAACTCACGGTTCAGGTTCGGACCTGGCTTTCGGGTTGTGCGCAAGACGCAAGGGGTATTATGCCCAGAGCACTTGGGCACATTTAATACGCCAGCGACTCTCGAAGCTGACAAAGGCTGAGCTGATGCAGTGGGAGTCTCTGAAGCTTCGTCCTTCCACAGGAAAAACCCGCAGTTGTTCTCTGTTTGGCCGCGTCGGCAGCTGTAGAACTGTCGGCCTTTGTTCGGGCCGTCCTTCTTTACGGTTCTCTCGGCACAAGGTTCGTTATGACCAGGGCACTTCACTACGGGCGCGTTCGAGTCGGATACCCAAGCAAAAAAGTTGCACTGCTCACCTTGAGGCAGTGGACACACGTAAAACATCCGCCCAGTGTTCGGCCCGTCGCGAGTTACCTCCTTCTCCACGCAAGACAAACCGTGGTCATTGCAACGAGGGACATCTGAGGCCAGACTCGGAGTAGGGGGTGGTCGAGTCTGAGAACCTGCAGACCGTGATGGAGATCGTTGTCGTTTCTGCCGTCGATCTTGAGTGCCATTGCCAGCTCGTGTACTCGTCTCCGATCCTCTCGATGATGTACTGTCAGAATTCGGGCCACGAGGTCTCACGTCTGCGCGATGAGGCTGCCGTGGTTCTCTGTCAACAGGAGCGCGAGGCCTCAATTCCCCCATTCGTGGCAACCCAGGATCACGAGCATCATTAACCGATTGGCCGAATTGCTCCGAAAACGTCTGGTCTAGCACATTAGCGCTACGAGTAACTTCGAGGAAAATGCTCTTCATCTACGAATGCATTGATAGAACTTGTCAGTTCACTCGAGATGAAGATCAAGGCTCCTATACATTCTTTACCTGATCCATACACGAATCGACTACTTGTCGGAGAGCCTTTTGTCCTAGCGAAATCGCTTTGCAGTCATTCTCCATCTAAATGTTCAGGCAAAAGCAATTAGAGTCAAGTCAATACAGGTCCGCCACTTTTCGAACACCCACCGCAGCACGAAGAACTGGTTTTGCCAACTCGAGGCCCATGTGCTCGTATGATAATACCAACGCCAACCCCAGAGTTGTAGGCTTGAACTGGGTATCGTTGTTCACCTTGATAGCGTACTCCCGCTTAAGAATCGTCTTGATGTGCTCGGCGATCGTGGCGTCTGTACCAATACCGTTTGAGTCCATCTTTGCGATTAAATCAGCTTCCGATAGCAGCGGCGGCGGGTTTGTTTCTCCTGAGAGCATCACAACAGTCGACGGGCGGAACACATCGCCGCGTTGATAAACAGGAATCGCAGACGCATTCCATTTCTCGTACTTGTAGATATCCAAGTAATTTCGTTCCTCCACCATCAGTCCAGACGCAGTGAAGCTCTCACCCAGCATCCTCATCACGACACTCGTCTGGCTGCCCTTGGCATCGCGACTACAACACGCCAAGAAGTGGAGAGCGACGAACTCGTACACTTTCTTCTCGTTGGGGTCTGACAACTTATTTAGATCAACACTCTTGGTTGGGTGAATGGGAGGGTGTGCCTGGTCATCAGAGTTGCCGTGGCGAGGAGCTTCGTATTTGCCTCCATCAAGCAGCTGTCGAGTGACGTAGTTCCCCCACTGTTGATGAGTGTCGTGCAGTCGGACCAAACTCATGAGGTCTGAGCCTTCTTTGAATTTGCTGGTCTCCGTACGCGGATAGCTAATCAAACCCTTATTGTACAGACTTTCTGCTGCTTTCATGGTCGCCTCTGACGAGATCCGCAGCCAACGTGACACTCGTTTTTGCAGCTCCACTGTAGTTAGTGGCAACGGCTTCCGCTTCCAAGAAGGTCGCTTGTCTACGGACTCGATCGTTGCTGTTTGACTCTCTACTAGACACTCATAGATACACAAGCACGCCATGCGATCGAAGAGATGCCCACGCTTCCACTTGAACGTCGTTGTGGGTGCGTCTAATTGATCAGTTCGCTGGTGTGTGACACTGATGTAGTAAAAAGCTTCCCGTTCAAAGTTCTGGATCTTGAGAAATCGCTCCACCACAAAGCCGAGCGTCGGGAACTGGCAGGGTCCATAGCTAATAACGTTCTTCTCCTGACTCAACGCCGGGAATCTGCTCTGAATGCGCATCGTTTGAAACCTCGTAAACGCCGCGCCAATTCTTAAATCGATCTCTGATCGAGCATCGACAGCCAGTGAGAGTTTCTCATTGGGCTCAGACAAGTTCTGTACTGCATGAATGATGTCGCGAGGAATTAGAGCTGAGAACCTGGCGCGGAAAACGCGCAGCCTCCTATTGGTCTTCTCGCAGATACTTTTGACCTCGTAAGCGATGTTCTCACCCTCTCGATCACAATCCAACCACAACACGAGCCACTACAAAGATGATCAATCAGTCAATACCGCTACTATTGGACACAGAGAGGTGACACACCTGACTGTGCTTGGCCTCCTTCATTAGCGACTTCTCGATCTTCTTCTGAGTGTCATCGCTGCGTATCCTCTTGGTCACTGGAGCTGTAAAGAGATCCACGGGGTCGCACGAGTGCCAACTTCTGACACTCGCGTCAAAGTCCAGCTCCATAATGTGGCCTGTGACGGACGTGACGACCATTTGCACCTGCTGCCCTCGGATTTGATACGGGAACTCGAAGAGCGCATTGTATTTAGAAAAGCCGGCGCGCTGACAACACACGCGATAGAGATTGATTAGAGAGAGCGCTGAGAGATGCAAAGCAGTGAATGCACAACACACACGCTGGGAGCGGCCTGAAGACAGGATGTTGGCGATCTCCTTGGCCACCGATGGCTTCTCCGCCACGTTGAGCACCTTCATGCAAGTCAATCGGCAGCTTATTTAGGCGCGCTAAAAAGCATGCCACTCTTGGGATTGGCTGAAAAGGGAGTTCAACTTTGAGACCGTCACTCTCGTTTTGTCCACACGCTGCATAGTAACCATGACGATGAGTGGCTTCCTCAACGTCCGCAAGCCTGCGGGGCTCACGTCGCATCAGTGTGTGGGGGCCATGCGCCGAGTGTTCGACACGCGGCAGGTCGGACACGGCGGGACACTGGACCCGATGGCTACGGGCGTCCTTACGCTGGCAGTGGGGCGGGCAACGCGCTTCCTGCAGTACTTGACTACTGGTAAAGAGTACAGGGGCGCGATTCGACTGGGTGTCACCACGGACTCGGACGATATTACGGGCGAAGTTTTAACGCAGAAGCCGGCACCGTGGATTGATGAGGAAATAGTTAATTCAACGCTGCAGAGGTGAGAGGATGAAGAGCAGCAATAGGAGGCAGGAGTGAAGATCTGACAAGTGGAGCTGTTGGCTGCAGGTTCATTGGGGAGATCGACCAGGTGCCACCGCGAGTCAGCGCCATCAAGAAGAATGGCGTGCGGCTGTACAAATTGGCGAGATCAAAGAAGGACTTTAAAGTCAAGCCGAGACGAGTGAATATTGAGAGGATCGACGTTCAGAGCTTTACTCAAGGAGATTTTCCGGAGGTTGGGTCGATTGATTGGATAGTAATGTCATTGCTTGTTGGATGAAACTTACCTGATGACACCGTGCACAGGTGGATATTAACGTCGTCTGTGGAGGGGGCACCTACATCCGATCCATTGCACGGGAATGCGGCGAGGCACTAATTGTACCACCCGAGTACGTGGACTCGACGTGCACATTGCGCAATCCTGCAGGCGAATGTTGTGTCGGAGGAACGCTGACTGAGCTAGAGCGGACTCGAAGTGGGGCTTTTACCATCGCTGACAGTCTCGACTTCGATGAGATCCGATCCAAAGTAGAGGTATGCATTGCTGCAGTGAACGAAGAGAATACTCCGCTGGGAATCTAACGAGCTATTCTTCTGTTATCAACAGCGTGGGGAGTCTCCACTTCAACCGATCGAGAACATGCTCCAGCATCTCCCTTTTGCTGAATTGCCGTCCAAAACTGCCCAGTACTGGCTGAATGGCGGCAGTGTTGCTACCCCAGCAGAAGATATCGAGTTCGTGGGCCACAACCGCTTCAACCTCACCAGCGGTGAACCCATTCGCATTTACTCATCATCGACAATGCTGGGCATCGCTCAAGTGGATCCGCAAGCTCAGCACAAGGTGTACGTTCTCAGGAAGCGTTTATTCATCTAAAAAGGTCGGTATCTCTCTTCCTTGTGAATCTACTCGAAATGTGGAGTGACATTGCGGCTCTGCTGCATCAAGTTTTGCAGACCCGCGGCCATAATCGCCGCAAACATCTCGGGGTCGATAGACATCCCAGGGCCGCCGGACGCTGGCCGAGACGGCTTCTGATCCTCCTGAGCGTTCTCATACGCATACGCTGTCGCACCAGTAGGCTGTACCATGGTTCTAGCTTCGTCAAAATCAGCCATCGACAGAGGACGCATCGTAGGAGGCTCAGGTTGAGCTGCCTCATCGTAGATTTGGGGCTTCTCGTCTTTAACTGTCGGGTTCTTTGCAGCTTCTTCTGCTGCAGCACGGCAATTGTCGATATGCTCTCGAAGAGGAATCATCAGAGCAGCTCGACACAACTCCTTCAGATCGCTTCCACTATAGTACATCGTGTCGTTGGCGAGCTGGGCAAAATCAAAACTGTCGTCCACCCGCTCCGTCTTAAGCTGCAGTCGGAGAATCTTCTCACGCTGTGGTCTGTTGGGCAGTCCAATCTCAAACGTACGAGGCATTCGACGCAGGAAAGCAGGGTCCACATCGCCCGGACGATTGGTCGCACCCATGATAATGACACCGAAGCCTCCATCGTCTTCAGTGCTCATCTCAGTGAATCCGTCCCAAAGCGCCAGGAATTCCTACAGCATCAACAACAACAACGTCAGACAGGTGGCACCTTGTATCATCTAACACACTACTACTCACCGTTTTCATGGACGAGAACGTCGGGTCTGACACGCCGCCTCGCTTGCCCATGAAGGAATCGACCTCATCGATGAAAATGATGCACGGCGCCAGTTTCCGAGCCAGCGAGAAAGCGGCCCGTACGAGCTTCTGCGACTCGCCGAACCACTTGCTCATGATCGTACTGATCTTGAGATCGATGAAGAAAGCGCCTGACTCCTTGGCGATCGCCTTGGCCAGCATTGTCTTGCCTGTACCAGGTTTGCCATAGAGTAAAATACCCTTGGGGACAGTGAGCAGCTTCCCTCGAGAAGCGAAGAACTCGGGACTTTTAAGAGGAAGGACAACCAGATCGTGGATGTCGCGCTTCTGTCGCTCTAAGCCGCCGATGTCCTCGAATGACACGTCGATGTCCTGTGGGTCTACAATGTCACCAGCGATCACGTTCTCGAAATAATTCGTATTGAACACACGGCGACCTGTGCGCTTCAGGCGGTTCTGCAGCTTTGCCTGACTATCCTGGCCCTTGCTCCAGTCGTCCATCATGGGCTTCAGTTGCTGCAGCAATAGCAACAGCAATAACCAGTGTTAGCTTTACGATGTCGCACCACGTCAGAGCTCATTTTGCTTGCCTTGTACAAGTACTTGGACGTTTGGTACATGGTGTAGAGCATGAGACCGTCCAGCACCATACCCAGTATCTCGTCCCTAGCGGAGACGGCGTCATTGCCATTGGACGAGCTCTGCTTACCGCTAGAATCCTTGCTGCTGCCGCCGCCCATCGTCGAGATGCGAGTGTTCAGCTGTGGCAGGGAGAACACAATTGTGGTAAATGGGGCGAATACTTTTGGGGATAAAGTAAATTTGTATGATGCAGACTTTTGGCGGCAAAGTGTCACAATCTGAAGTTCCAGACAAAAATGGCGCCTGTGAAGAAGCCGCAGAGCTCGTATCTGATCTTCTGCAATGAGCGACGCAAGCAGGTGATGGATGAGAACCCAGGCACACGTATCGGCGACATCCAGAAGATCATTAGTGCGCAGTGGAAAGAGCTCAAGCCCGAGGAGAAGGACGTGTATGTGGAGCTGGCTGCCAAGGACAAGGCACGCTACGAACAGGAGTTGCTGGACAACCCGCAGGTCAATGAGGAGCCCACTGCAGAGGACAAGGCAGCGCAAGACTCCAATGCCTGTATCTATCCGTTGGGAAGAGTACGGAGGATCGTGCAGAGCGATCCTGACGTTGGCAAGGTCTCAAAGGACGCACTCATTGCCATCGCCAAGGCTTCGGTACGATCGGACTTGCGCACTAAACGAAGGGAACAAAGCTCTGACGCTGTTTATTTTACTATTGCAGGAGCTGTTTGCTCAGTTTCTAGGCACCAAGAGCTACGAGCAAGCGCTGTACCGTAACAAGCGGCAGATCAAGGCGTCGGACGTGACACGCACTATTCAAACCACAGCGTCGTTGGATTGGCTTCGCGAAGACTTTCCTGACGTCAAGCCCACTCCGAGGGACATTGCAGCTGAAAGTAAGGCGAAGAAGGACCAGGAAAAGGAGAAGAAGACATTACCTGACAGTGCGTCCTTCTTCAAGCCTAGGACTGCTGGAGATGCAAATGCAACGGCAGCCGAAGAGTAGAATTCACCAACTAAAGCTAATGTATATCCAGCGAAAATCCCGCGATGCCTCAAGGCTCAAATGGAATGGAAAAATCGGGAGCTCTATTTAATTGCAACTGAAGGGGCCAGCAGCGACAGCAAACACGACGTATCCTGTCCGCGCTGCTTTTTCCTGCCTTGTACGCCTAGAAAATGTCGTTCCAGTCATCGAACTCCTCGTCTTCGTCCTCTTCCTCCTTCTGCTCCACGACCTCTTCGACCACAGGCTCCACACGCGGGATGAGACCACGACGACCAGCAATCTTGGCGACCAGTGAACCTTCCGGGATGTTAGGCACCACTCCTTCCGGGAACTTGATAGACTCGAGGTACACCTTGTCACCCACGTGCAGGCCATTGACGTCGATCTGAAGCGTAGTCGGGATTTTGTCCGTAGAGATGGTGCAGTCAAGTGAGTGGTAGATGTGGTTGATGAAGCCTCCGCGCTTAAGACCAGGGCTGCCTTCCTCATTCAAGTACGTGATAGGGATGGACACAGTACGCCCAGGCTTGTAACGAAGGAAGTTCACGGCCAAAGGCACGTCGGTCACGGGGTCCAGCTGCACGTCACGCATATAGGCCTTGACGGGCGCCTGGCCGCCCACCTGGACGTGGAACACTTGGTTCTCTATGGACGTCCAGAGCTTGCGGTGCTCACGCTCGAAGGCACGCGTCGGGAATGAGACCAACACGCGCTCATCCTTGCCGTCCTCGCCCTCACCGTAGAGTACGCCCGGCAGCAGACCCTGCTTGCGCAGACGCCGAGATGCACGTGATCCCTCACCTTCACGCACCACGAGCTGCAGCACGTTTGAAGAAGCCTCCTGAGTAGCAGCGGCCGCAGCCGAGAAGCGAGCCACCTGAGCGCCAGAGCGCATCGCGTGCCGCTGGAGCGCCAACATCCTTCGCCAATACCAAGCGTCTGCAATGACAATGCTGGGCCACACAAGCCAAAAGGTTTGTGGTCGCAATCGATTACGACGAGGTAATAAATTAGAGAGTAATTTTAAACTGGCGAAGTGCAACTGTAGTTTGTAGCCATCTAAATAATAAAAAATATAGCAGGAAGCATGTTCAAATATCAAAATACGGTTGAAGTTTTCATCAGGTTTTGCTATTTTGTACCACCGTGTTTTGGAAAATGGCTTCAGCCTACACGAGTGTGAACTGCTCATACAGCAGCGCTCGGATGCGATAATAGTTCCTGGACAGTGTACCTTCCATCACGATTTCGTTGTTCATTGCACGTTTGAGCACCACACCGTCATTGCAGACCAGCATACCTCCGCGGAATTTGGCCTGGAAGCCTGCTTTACCCAGCACCTGCTTCATCACGTCCAGCTTCATCTTGCCGTCACTCAGCAGAATAGGCTCGTGCGTCGTCTGGCCACCATTCTCGTTCAGAGGCTGCAACACTGGTACCGAGCTGTTCTCGGGTAGCACAAGTTGGCCAGTAACATAAGCGACTTCGTGACTGCCAACCTGTTGATCACAAGTAATTCACAGAGGTCAATAGACGAAGACCTATATAGAGCCAAGAGAGCCATCAACGTACCTTCCGGAATACCGCTGATGTGTACAGCGATTCCTTGACCGACAGCTTGTACACGTTCGTGTCGGACTCAATGTCGATACACTCCATCACGTTTGGAGTAAACACAGCTTCACACATTGGGATGGACGATTCCACAAACTGCTTCAGCTCGCTCGTAGTCTTCTCAGTGCCATGGACCAAAATGAGTTTGCGAGGCTTGACATTGCCCAAACAGTTTCGAATTGCTCGGCCATCTGCAACACCGTCAAAGTCCACTTGCGTGATACGAGCAGCGATCTGAGGAGCAAAAAAACGGTTATTGTTAGAGCATCACGAAATAAAGTGATACCATCAATACACAGGATTCTTACGTTGACGACGACCTCGTTCGTGATAGTCTTGGTAGGACGAGTCTCGACTGCAGCCTCCTGATCAGCATTTTCCATGTCCTCATCCCCATCGGCATCTTCAATGATATTACGACGAGCCTGGCGATTTGCCAGCAACGTAGCGTCCTTGAAGTCGTCTGGGTTGATGATCTGTTGGTAAAAGTGCACCCGTTAACGTCAAACACCAACAATGCCATCCTAGTAGTAGAACAATGTACCTCTCCGTATTCGTCCCACTCGATCTTTGGCTCCACGGCAAAGAACATGGGATACCGAACCGATGCGAACTGTCCAAGGCCGACCTTAAAAGTGCCTCGAAGTTGAACTGCAACAGCTTGGTTAGTTCAAAATTGCGTGAAAGTACAGAAGCCGACCATAACTCACCTTCTTGCTGTGTAGTCTCCTCTTCTTCCGACTCAGATTCAAAGTCTTCGATTCCCATCATCATATCTTCCATGGCAGCCTCTTCAATCTCCTTCGCCTTGTTCTCAGCCTCTGTACGAAGGCGTTTTCGCTCCTTCACTTCATAAAGCGCAAGCTCTGCCCCTTCCAAGAACACCTTCTTCGTCACTGTGCATGAAATAGTTTTCTCAGCGGATGGGTCCTTCGACAGCTTCAGTACACGGGATGCAAACGACGTCCCTGGCGTTGTTGACGTGAAAATGATGCTGTTTCGAGGATCGGGAGCCCAGCGAATGAAAATATCCTTTGCAAAGCCGCATTCTAGACTTGGAGACGTAGCCAACACCACCTGAATACATTTGATTAGCTCTTGTTACTCCAAAACAGACTTCTTGACTCACCTTGGGGTTCGGCAATGCGTCCAGTTCTTCCAACGTGTGGACCAAATGAATGTGTCTACGAGCCACAGCTCAAAAATCAGTTATAAGAGTAGACTACAACTCATGGGGGAGATTATACGTACGTGAATTGGAACGGGTTCTGGCGACCAACGTCGAAGTTCTTCGCGATTCGGTCGTTACACCACTCCAGCATTGCCTGTGCAGCCTTGGGCGTGTAGTAGCTCATATCATGGAGCAAAGCAATGGGGTCACGCAGCCTGCGTACGAGTGAAGCAAAAAATAGTTAGACGTACAAGCTTCATCATCATAGCCCAAGTGATCATCGCTTACTTGTTCTGGATCCAGTACTGATCCAACACTCGCATCAATTCAAGTACTCGACCAGAGCTGTCGGTCGGGATCAGTACATTTCCACCGTTTCGGACTGTCTTCAAAATCTCCATCATGATCTGAGTGCAACACAAGAGAGTTAATAAAAGAAAACACACATTCTCATCACGAGAGCTCCAGAACAAACCTTGCTATCTCGGTCCTTGAGCTTGGGTTGTTCCGCATGGAGGTTCATGGAATCGGTAATAAGCAGCGTTGGGCGACTGCAAATAAAATCATCAATAACAAGCATCAGCACGAATGATCCACACCGACCGCAGTCTCGACATTTAAGAACTCACGTGAACGAGTCCAGAATCGTCTTCTGAAGCACGTGCTCCGAGCGATGATTGTAATCCACCGCGTAGATAATATCGTCCTGCATTCAGTATACAGTAGCAGTCAGTAAGGAGCCATCAGCTAAACATTGGGCAGCTCCATCCTCACCGTCTCCTTCATGATCCTCCAGAGCGCACCTCCAATCAGATGACCGGCCACATGAGGCGTGATAACGATCCCCTCTCCACTGCTTGTGAGCGTCAACTTTTCCGAGTATTTCAGCTGCTTAAACCGCTCGAAGACCAGATCCACATCGTCCAGCGAGAAGAGTGAAAAGTCGCTGTCGTGTTTTGTCTTGGCCTGGAACGCGTCGTACAGCGCAATCTGCCCCATACGGTGCACAGGTAACGTGCCGTACACGGGTGCATTGAGCCCCAATTTGCCCATAGCGTAGGGCAGCGCCCCCATGTGCGCCAAGTCCAGATGCGACACCAGCACCAGGTCGATGCGGTCCACTACGCGCTGCAGAGGCTTGAGCAGCTCCACATCGTACGCGTCCGTCCAGCCACAGTCCAGTAGAATGCATACCTCGTCCACCTCCAGCAGATACGCACAGCAGGGCGCGCTGGAGTGCACGCCATACAGCGGTGTGAAGGTGATCACCGCCATCGCTCCAGGCACCTTGCGGTCAATTGGGGTTATTTAACCTAATCCATGTTGGTTAATTTTGTAATTTTTTACATAGATTTTCAGGCCAGGAAAAATGGACAACTTGAAGCAGTTTCACTATGTTCCAAGTTGGTTGTGCTTTAGATCCTACTGCGATGACTATTGTGTTGCTATCTTACGCTGCATAGAGATAGCGCGACGCTCCCATACAATGAGTGCTATGACCCATGCGGTCGGTACCAGCAGCATCGGCAGCAGCCAACTCAACGCTTCGCGCGAGTATTCGATCAGGTGGGTGGCAAACCCCACAGCAACGCAGCCTCCGAGCAGGAATAGCGTGAACAAAGCCAGAAAAATGGACTCCAGCAACGCCACTTGATCGTCTGCTGAGTCGTTGCTGTCGTCCCCCAGTCGAACGATCTCCATCTTGTAACACACATCGTCAAAGTCCTCGAGTTGCAATTGTGCTTTCTTGGAACGGAGACGAAGCCGCGGTAGATGGTATCGGGGCTTCTTTCTCTTGGTGTGGTCGGAACGATCCGTGGAGGGCATTATCAATAGTGATGAAGAGACTCCGACGGTTCGGTTTAAGTCGACAAAATTATTTAGAAGAGCAAGTGACGGATACCCATTTCCTGATAAAGGCAATGGTATCACCATTAGTCGGAAAGCAGCAATAGAGAGCGACGACGGCTTTAGTATATAACACATACCTGGGCGAATGCCTCGTTCAGTTCCTTCTCGAATTGTTTCTCGGGGACGTCCGCTGGCAATAGTTTGCTAAGTGGGGTCTTCTTCTTTATAGCTGCAACTTTGGCGTTATCATAAGCGTACTTTGCGCTCATTCGGGGAGGAATCATCTTAGAGATGCTCGCATCAACCTAAATGTGGTTATGATGGTGCTGTCAGCAATTTCAAGTCCATCTACAAAGGAGATACTTACGATCGGTTCGGTTGACAAGTGGGGTAGTTGAGGATCTTGAAGCCGCACGAACAATGATGCTCCTGGCTCGGGAACTGGAATCAATTGCTTCACTTTTTCATTTCCGATATCGTCGACCACAGCGTTCAACCCACCCGTTGCTGCCTTCAATAAGCTCTGGTTTGCAGCACAAGTACATGGTCATTTAGACGAAGTAGTAGGGAAACTATAACAAAGCAAACGAACCAGATTGACCTCCCCCTGGAAGAGAGGGAGTTGGACGGAACACACGTTAACAAAGCGGGAGTGTGCGAGAACAGGGAGGAACGTCCACCCATACTGCTGCGACGTGATTTTGCCCGTCTTAGGATGCCGATTCACGCTTCGGACATCGAAAAGTACCGCCAGCAACTGGTCACTACGTGAATCTTTCAAAGTCTGTGACAACATCCGAGTTAGAACTGTTATAGATAAGCTCTCATCTGTAAATTGTACCATGTATCCGTCGTCAAACTCGGGTGATGTCTGTGAACTGGTCCACTCCGTCGTTGTGGTAAAATGCACGTCCCCTGTCAGCCGAATCGCTTGATAGAAGGATCCAGGTGGATACACGGAGAAGAGAACTTTAAAGAACGGTCCTCCTTTTGCCTTGACGTTGTGCAACGCATCGACTGCGACTCGGAATCCAATTGCTGGATCGTATCGGAGCGCAGACGAGAGGTCGAGATAATTCGCTGGTTTGGTCTAGAGCAAACCAAAACGATTAAAGAGTTAAATCCGTTCCCCCTGCTCCAGAGCTCAAATAAAAAAAGCACAACAAACCTTCAGCATTTCTCGAGCTTCATTTGTACTGAGCGATATCTGCTGAAGACATTGGGCTACGATCTTTGCTCTGCGGTTCTTATGCTGCAGGAAGGAACCATAGTGAAAGGTTAACCACAGCAAGTTCCACAAAGGAGTAACGCTTACCCGAAGCGAGTAAATCTTCTCTTCAATGCCCGAAGGAACACAGCGCAACGAATCGTACAACTGATCACAGTACTGAGGAGCAGGTATCTGCAACCCCTTTGCCTCCCATTCGTTAGGCGGGTGATCACTCCGTGAAAGAAGCGCTAACCCGTCTCCTGACTGTCCAAAGTGAATTCCCATTAGTAGAATATTGTAGACAATAAATTATCTTGACATACCAATTTTGCTCTCACAACTCGCAGTAGCACCGTAGCACAAGGAATTCGCGGAAACTCTTCACATGACTTTGCATTCAACGGCTGATTCACTTCGGCAGACTGGACTTGGGTATGCAGTGGTAGCTGAAATCCCCCTTCGTTCAAGATGAAATGATGAATACTTGGGCGATTAGGCTGGTCAGTAGTCTCAACGTCGAGAAATACCGGAAAGACGGAATATCCCAGGATCACTGGCCTCTTTGACACCAGCTCAATTATGTCAACGCGAATAACCAACGTAAGTGTCGGATTAAAATTGCCTTGGCGATACTCCACATACTACCAATATACAGATAAATTCACAGGTTAGTAAACACACACAATCTTTAGATAACTTCCCTCAATCGTACCGCGTCGAACACTGGATCAAAGGCACCTGACTCCGCCACAGCAAATGTACTGCCATTTGCAGCTACTACTTGAGTTCGATCAGCGTGAAGAGCTGCGATTGTTACCTTGGAAATGGTGACGCTATCTGGAAATCCACGACCGCCGTCGATATACACGTTGAAACCATCTCCAGATTGGAATGGGCTTCCGCCAAGTAGACGCCTTTGCAATTCACTGGTCTTGTCAACGCGAATCCATGGTTCATCTGACTCTGCATTACTATCCTCACGAAAAGGAGGTAATCGAGACCTATCACTTGTTGGTGGAATGTTCGAGCGAGGACGCGTACTAGACGGTCGTGGGGATGCTGATGAAAGCGAGCGAAAGTGCTCAACATCAAGAAAATCTTGCTTTGGGGGACCAACTGATGGCGGTGAGTCGGTTGTAGTTGGTGGTCTTGGCTTTTGGTCTTCCAGGGGCTTTGCGGGAGTAATCGGAGTCCTTCTACCTGCCATCATACTCTTCGACTGTGGTCTGGGAGGTGCCTTCCCAGATTCTGGAAGTTGATATCGCACTAGGGAAAGTAAACATAAGAGAAATGTTCGTTAGATAGTGAAAGCGTCGTGTTATCAGTAGACACAGTTGTGTACCTGCATGCAGTTCTGGGTCCACAAGCATTTGGGAAGCCTCCTCAATGCTTTCACCGTGCACAAGTCGGATATGTATCCTCATGCCACCGCACTCCGCAGGTGTTGGAGGAAGGACATGAACCTTGGACGGGTCAGGCATCGACGACTGCTTCACTGGAAGCTTGAAGAGCCCAAGCGATAATACCAGCTCTCCCTCGTTTGTCAGCTTAAAAATGTCAAAGGCTGTCCAGCCTAAACTTATTGGAACACGTGCACCACTTGCACCGTTTTGAACCACCGAAGTCACCTTTCAACGTAACATAATAAGCGGTCATTTCGGGGCTAGTAAAACCGAAATTCTATTGCATCGCACCTCCATAACCACGCGTAGTTCCAAAGCCGCTGCTAACCTTTTGATATGACTAGGAGAGAGAAACAAGCACAGCTTGTGCTGTGAATTCATCGTCTTAGTCTCATTTGTAGACACAACTTTGAATGGTGTACGAAGAATTTTGCCTTCGAAGACAGCGTAGGTAATCTACGAGATGAAAACAAAGTGTCAGAAAAACATAGCAGATGACAGTTTACCAACGAATTCATCATACCTGCAGATCAGTTGTTGTTGTGGGTACCCTATCAACAAAGTCCCAAAACAGAGCAAAGCCACTCTCTGGGCTGTATGAAGCTGTAGATTCTCCCTGGATATCTGAATTCAGCCCATTATTTTTCACGTCGTTATGTTGAATCGCACGCTGAACTCGAAGCGTAACCAGCTCTCGCTTCTGTTTGGCGAGCCAGTCCTCATGATCAAGCTCGCGCTTTTTCTCCTCTCTTCGACGCTGAATTCGCTCTTTGAGGTCTTCCAGCTAACAAACCATAATGTTAAGAGTGTTCTTCAAAATTCAATAGCGTATCAAGCTCTCTACCTTTTCTTGCTCTTCCAGGAGATCCCGCTCGTTTCGGACCTTGGCTAGATTTTCAAGATGCTGCCTCTGCAAGCCACATAAGAGTCCGCCGTGTGCCCATACTCCAGCTAGAATAAATCTACAGTACCTTCAAACTTTTGAGAGCTGAATCATCGTTGTTGTCAGCCGCAGGCGAGGCAGCCGAAGCGTCAGTACTGTCGTTTTTGACTGTCAGTGTCGAAATCTTGGTCTACTTTAACATCGATTAGTATACTAGATAGCAGATATCGTATGAATCACCTACTTGCAGCTCCTGAATACGGATTTGGAGCCGAGCGAATTCCTTTGCTTCGGCTTGTTGTTCATTGGCGAAACGCTGCATTTCAAGATCTCGCTCCAATCTTCGAATATCTTCTTCTTGCTGATTAAGCAACGGCTTTGACGATTGCTCAAGTGGAGTAGCATTTCCTACCTGGTATGATGGGAGCCACGGAGGTGCCGCTGGATAGGGACTACCAGGAAAACACGACGAAACTCCAGTACCGTACGGATACACCGGCATAATTGGGGGCGAGAAGAATTGGTAAGGAGAGAACGAGGTTGTTGAGAAAAGATAGCTGTGGGGGTAACAGGGGACTGCAAGTTGCTGAAGATAACTTGGGTGTTGCGCGATGGGTTGAGCTGCTGGCTGGGTGAGTGGTGCTGCTGGTAAACTGTCTGCTGTTTGAGTACTGGTAACTGGAGATGCATCTTTGCTTAAAGCGTGACGGGGCTGATGAGGAGCGTCTAGAGGCTTGAGGTTAATAAACTTATTGACTGCTTTCGTCACCGCCGCTATGCGGCTGCTATCTTGTGTTGTTGAGTCTGTTTAGCATAAATCGTTAGATCTTCTGAAGTTGTTGATAAGGGTGCGTGTGGCCCTACCTGGTGCACTACTGTCATCGTGGTCATGGTTCATCAAAGACATAGAACAGTCGTTTAACATGCTGCTTGTACATCTTGAAACAGTTAATGAGGGTGTGTCAAAATTTGCTTCTTGGCGACGGGAGCTTGCTTTCTCTAGCTCAGCTTGCAGTCTTTCGACCCGCTTTTGTTGCTCATCGCAGTTGATGTTTCGAAGGAAGTGCTGCAACGCATCATCTTTCGTGACCGCCTCTTGGTTAGGAGCTAACAGTTGAGTGGATCTGGCTGCAAACCATTGATGAAATGCTCCGAGAATCTTAAGAAAAAATAGCATGAGAGAGCAAGTACCTTGCGGAGATTGCGACAACGTATTCGCACGAGGCATAAGTTTATCAGGGTTCGCGTCGGTTGTCACCTGCGCCCGAATATTCCTGTCCTCTCTCTGGTTCAGATCTTCATTCGATTTAGATGATATTGTAGCTGTAGCCACCACAGACGCTGCGGTTTGCTGGAATGGACTGGGTTTGATATTCGCACTCTTGCGAAACTTCAGTTCCTAACGTAGAATATGCGTCGTAACCACATTCTAAGCACCCAATTCTACATTCAAAACTCATCGCACCTTCTCCTTGAGATTATCGTTGAGCTTAATGAGCTTCTCCTCTTCAGTTTTCTTTTGCGTCTCCAGCAGCTCCTTCGCTCGTCGCACTTCCAAAAGCTGCTTCTGCGTCTGCTCCTCACGCGACCACAGCGTTCCCTGCCATCGTAAACTAATCAGAATACTAGTTGCAATTAATAATAATGCATTCTGACAATATACGCAGTACGCACCGCCTGCAGCTGGCTCAGTTCGTCGCGGATCCGCTTCTTCTCGGCACGGAGTCGCAGCTCCTTCTGCTTGGCCAGTGCAATCTGCTGCAGTAACGCCTCTACTTCTGCCTCATCCTGTAACATCACAGAAATTAGTTTTCAATCTCAATTAGCTCAACGTCATTGGCGTAACAAACCTCCGAAATTCCCATCGACATGAGTGTATCCATCTCGCCTCGCGTCGTTTCAAGAACTTCATGTGGACCACATCAACTAGATAAAGTACCGTTATTCATATCTCCTCGGATTCCATGTCACTGTTTTTTTTTTTTTGCCAGTCAAAATGCTGCGGTGGAGAGCTACTCGCTCGGTGCCGTGGCGCCACTCACATCGCGCGTTGTCGTCGCGTCAGGCGGCGCAGCTGGAGACACAAGTGCTGGAGAAGCTTCGCGGTGTCTCTGACGGATTGGGGCTGGGCGACATTGTGTCGCTGGGCCGCGTCAAGGTGAAGCGACAGCAGATTGACACATCGTTGACTCATTTCATGCCTCGAAGTCCCTCATTCGTTTGTTATTCTTTGTTTCAGGAGCTGCGCGTTGTTCCAGAGGCCGGCAAAGTTTCATGCAAGATCGAGACGCCGTCTCCGGCGCTGATGGAGCTGGCGCAACAGGTTCGGCAATGGAGGCGCTGGCATTGTTACGATACTCACACAGTTATTATTTGTATTGATGTTATCAGTGGCAGAAGGAGGCGGAACTAGCCGTGAACAAATTGGACTGGGTCAAAGATACGGACTTTGAGATCTCCAAGTCGCGACCACGCAATGCTCGTGCTGGCCGCTTCTCGTCGCTGGCTCACGTGTCGGACATCATTGCAGTGTCCAGTTGCAAAGGCGGCGTTGGCAAGTCTACGGTGGCAGTGAATCTCGCCTTTAGGTGGAGTGACTGCAGATAGAACGCGGGTATTGATACTAGATTACTAACTTATTGGTGTGGTTTGCAGCCTTGCGAAACGTGGTGCTCGAGTGGGAATTCTGGACGCTGACATCTATGGACCGAGTTTGCCTACTATGGTCTCGCCTGAAGACTGCACTATTCGCCAGTCAAAGAAGATAAAGAATTTTGTCGAACCGGTGGACTACGAGGGCGTCAAGTGTATGTCTTTCGGCTTCGTGAACCAACGTGCTGCTCCTGGTGCGGGAGGTACGTTGTGTCTGGTTGCTGGTATATCTATCTGAATTATTTTTTAACTTGGACCGATTACTTGGCTCGAACAGGAGTCGGAGCTGCAGTGATGCGTGGTCCCATGGTCTCAAAACTGGTCGACCAGCTCATTCTCGGCACCGAGTGGGGCGATCTTGACTACCTGGTGGTGGATATGCCACCTGGAACGGGAGACATTCAGATCTCACTTTCGCAACAAATGGCTATCTCAGCTGCAGTTGTCGTGACAACGCCGCAGAGACTCAGGTATGTGCATCAGTTTCTACCCTCCAGAATCACCATACCTAACGTTGTGTTTATTTTTCAGCTTCGTCGACGTAGAGAAAGGAATCGCGATGTTTGAAGATCTAAAGGTGCTACCAATCATGATGTGATATCGAATGGGTCTTCTCCGTAGTCGCTAACACAGTTCTGATGATGATTCAGGTGAAAACGGCGGCTGTGGTGGAGAACATGTCCTACTTCGACTGCTCCCATGGACAGCGACACTATCCGTTCGGTCAGTATTTCTTCAATTTATGGTTATTGGCTTTGCGGTTTTGTATTCATTCCTTATTTTATGCAATCGCGCAGGCCCGGGCCATACCCAGGAGCTTGTTGACAAGTGCAACATGAAAAATGTGTTCAAGCTGCCAATCTCGGAGCAATTTAGCGCATCGGCAGACTCTGGACGGTGCGTTTAGTACCAGGTATAACCAGTGATATTCGAGCTAACATGGCCGATCTCCCTGTGGTGCAGGCCATTCGTTCTCTCTGGATTATCCCCTGAAGAAGAGAAGACGTACGACTCGCTAGCGACCACAGTGAGTCCTTGCGCAACTGGACGTGTCAAGTATAACCGGGCTTGTACTAACTGCAGTCGTTTTAGGTTGCCAAGGAACTGGTGGTTTTGAAGCACAACGTTCGCTTGGCGCCCGAGCTTCTCTATGACACGAATCGCGGCATTGTTCTCCGCTTGTACAGTTTGAACGAGGCGAAGGAGGCTGTGCTTCACCCAGCGGATCTCCGAGCTCAGTAAGTGAATACCCTTAGCCGCTGACCTGGCTACTGTTGCATACTGATGTACGATTTGCTTGTTTTGTGTAGATGCCGCTGTGCTCAATGTATCGATGAGTTCACAGGAGAGCAGGTATTGTTACGTGATGAGATAAAACCCTTTGGTATCCCGACTTGACGCCTTTTTGTTGTGCAGATCTTGGACCCAGCTACGGTTCCAGACGATATTCATCCCACCGCAGTTGAGCGGAAGGTAAAGTCACAGTGGATTTCTTCTCTCTTTTGCTTCAACAACTGGCATTAACAGGGTCACTTCGACAGGGTAACTATGCTTTTGCGGTCACGTGGAGTGATGGCCATACTTCGTCACTCTACACGTACGACGCCATCACAGCACTAATCTCTGAGTACGCACCCAAACCAACCGAACAGCAATAGAGCAACAATTTAGGAAACCTAGACAAACATTGATGCTCCAACAAGGCATGTCCAATACTTTGTTCCTTCCCAAATGTGATCAAAGGTGCTTACACTTGTCAGGATCGCGATACCTGTACAGGAAAGTTGGTGGTTCTTCGGATACGAGTCACTTCAAATACCACGTTCAAGAGCTGGATCGGCCAGAAGTGTTACTCATTCTCTATTGTCTGAACCGAAGTTTGTCCGGCACAAGCCACGTGGTAGGAAAATGTGGCTAGAGTGGCAAATCGTTCCACACATTTGAGGAGGCGAAGTGGTGACCAAGAATAGCAGTGCTCGAGCCGTAAGGTTTACCAACATGATGCCTAACACCAACGTCATGGAGCCAGCAAGGAGCAAGCATGAGCGGAAGCGCCAGGAATATCCTTGCCACCGGCATTAATCGTCCTTGCCTCTGTGTCTTGGCAACGGAGGAACCGAACGAAAGGAATGGCACAACGCAATTTCCAACGAGCCTCACCACTAACACTTCTAGTCCAAGATGTCTGCGTGTGATCTCGGTACCGATGGCCTCGTCCTCTCCACTGTGAGTCTGCATATCGACAATATCGTTCCCCACAACTCCATCACCTCCATCGAAGCTCAGAAGGCTGCAGCCGAATCGGTTGCCAACTCAATTGACAAACCCTCGAATGGGAGTCCCAAGCAACTCCCAACTCTCAGCAGGCAGGATTCGTGGGCGCACCTACAGATCAAAGACCGTATGCAGTGGATGGAACACTTCAAGCAAAACAAGCGTGGTGGGTTGATCTTCCAAGACCGAGAGACGCTCAAGAAGCAGCAGGGGGTCGTCAAAGAGGTCATGATGCAAGTCGGTTCGCAACTTTTATCAGGCAAACTGGCCGTGCGAATCTCACTGCCAATTCGCATCTTCGAGCCTCGATCGCTACTTGAACGTGTAGCAGACGGATGGAACTATGCTCCTACTGTGCTCAAGAAGGCAGCACTCAGTGGTTCGGATCCGATTGAACGGATGAAGTTTGTGATGGCGTTTGTATCGGGTGGTCTGCACTTCTGTGTCGGTCAGTTGAAGCCGTTCAACCCCATCTTAGGAGAGACCTATGAGGCCACGTATCCTGACGGCACACAAGTGATCATGGAGCATGTAAGCCACCACCCCATCAAATCTGCGTTCACAGTTGTGGGTCCTAAAGGGCTCTACAGAATGTCCGGAGTCTACGAGTTCGAATCAGTCTCGACTCGTAATTCTCTGACCAACTACCAGAACGGATCGGCAACAATCACATTCCACGATGGAGTGGTCATCACGTTCACGATGCCCCAGATCAAGATGAGTGGCGTCCTATTTGGAGACCGAGTGGTGGAAATCGGTGGTTCTTCAAAGTTCGAGGACTCTACCAACCGCCTTGTGGGCGAACTCAACTTTGACGCGAACAACAGTTTCTTGAAAAAGTCACAGAGCGACGACATCAAGGGATGCATCTACCCCGCAAAGGTGAGAACAGTTTAATACGTAATTTTGCAAGACTGGTGGCTGAGTGTTGTTCTGTATTGACTTCTCACAGAAATCTGCCAAGCATGCAGTGGCGACTGTAAATGGTTCGTGGCTATCGCACCTCCAGTTCGACGGCAGGACGTAAGTGAATTGAGCATTTGTATGAGAATGCTGTGAGACGACTAACCGGAAATGTTGCTTTGTTGCAGTTATTGGCACGTGGAGTCTGAGCCAGCGTTTGAACACACACCCGTCGATAATCCGCTCCCGTCGGACGTACGCTATCGCGAGGATATCATCGCCTTGAAGGTTAGTGGAGAATGTCCACGCTTCAAATGAAATATAGCATACTAACAGGAAATTAATGTTGACATGCAATAGAACGGCGATGAAGAGTTGGCGCAGTCCGAGAAGTTGCGACTAGAAGCTCTGCAGCGAGCGGATCTCAAGATGCGCGAGGCCTGAACTATTTAACATGCGTGTACACATTGCACAAAGTTCATCAAAGTGTCTGAATGCTCTCTATTGTGAAGCGATTAATGGCGGAAGAAATATATCCAACATGCAAAAAAGCTATATCAATATGGAAAATGTCCTGAGGAGAGCTCAAGAGCTTACTCTTCTCACTAATCGGGTCACCTGGCTCCATGTACTCGTGCCAGGATAGTGTATGGGCTACCAAAGCCGGACGCTTACTTCTGCTTCTTGAGCTTCTTCTCGTCCTCCTCGGCGGCGTGTTGCTGCGCGAACTGCTCGATGCACGAGATGGCAAAGTAGGCGATGAAGGCCACCATGATCCATGAGCCCAGCTGGGACACCAGACTGCTGCTAGAAGCCGCCGCCGTACCAGCGTGCTCTGCTGCGGCCTTACTCTGCGCTGAGTGGAACTTCTCGCGGCATTCAAATAAGAACTCGCTAACACGGGAGCCAAGTCCCCACTCCTCGGGAGTTACACGTCCGATAAAGGCCTCCACACGCTTGAGATGCGCGTCCGTGAAGATGGTGATGAAGAACGCGGCTTGCATGTTGACCTTGATAAGTGCCTTGCCGATGAGTGTAGCACCGAAGAACGTCCAAAAGGGCATGAGGAAGTGTCCGCAGCAGATACCACAGAGGTCGAAGGCCATGTTGGGCCAGGCAGACATGAGCAGCACACCCCAGAAGCCGTGTTTCTCCAGGAACCGGATCATCCAGTCCTTCATGCTGTTCATGAGGTTGTACTGGGACTTGGACTCGGCGATCTCCTCGAACTCCTCGTTACGCTGTCCAGCCAGCTTAGCGGCGCGACTGAGTGCGTAAGGAGGGATCTCACCAGCTGCAGTGCCTGCGCCCCAGAGCATGCAGGGCAGGAAAACCTTCCAGAAGATGGCGGAGAACGTGACAGTGGAGACCTCGGGGACGTTGTTGCAGTTGGCTTCGAAAGGGTGGAACCACATGTGGTGGCGACTGTCAAAGTCCAGAGATTTACATTCTTCTGCGCCCTGCACCACGAGAAAAATGTGGGGGAAGAGGAACAGGATGCCCGAGTGCATTCCCGTGCCCAACCCCACACTCGAGAGCACGCCCAGACCGACCCACCAGACCACGAACTTGACCGTTTCATTGAATTCATCCAGAAGCTGGCGGTGAGGCCCGTCACGACTCGAAGCCACGAGCCACAGCACAAGCAGCGGCAGTAACACGAAACGCGTGGCACGACTGCGTTGCACGCGTAGCGCTAACCACTTGAGGAAGCGCAAGAACACGACGCTGAAGTGGTACAGCACGCTAAAAGGGCGACGGAAGAGCGTGAGCTTCTTGCGTTCCTGTCGCAGCTGTTCAGCCAGGGCCGCCGTGTCGTCCGAGCTGCTCGCCATGAGTCTCCGCTAGGCTTCTGTTGGGTCCGGCAGATAAGGGAATGACGAGGCAAATGCCACGTCGCCACGGTTGTGATTGGTCAAAAGCGACAAGGCTTTTGGTTTTGACATGCCTTACGAATCTTAAGAGTAAGGAAACATCATTTTTCACAAGTCATTTTAGACTTTCAAATCCGTTTGACAAATCTAATTGTGCAAGGTTATAAGGTTGTATGGAGCGGTAAGAGTCGCGTAACCGATCCATGTGGTTGTTGAAGTGGACGAGCTTATGGGGATCGAGGGCGAGGACGCGGCGGCGAAGGAGCTGCTGGAGCGCGCACGACGACTGTGTCTGGCTGCGAGGCAGTTTGAGCTGCCGGTGATACTGGGTCTCAGGAGCGATGTCATCGAACGGGAAGAGAGCGAAAGAGCGACTCCAGAGGACGGAGAGGGCGATCGAACACGTCCAAACAGCAGCAAACGCTCTCAACGGTCTTCGGACGAGAAGCTACCACCGATTTATATTGCACTACCAACTGCTGCATTGACTAAAAAGCACAAGAAATCTGTCAACCAGATCGAAGATCAGGATACAAAGCTATTGGAGAGGGCTCGGCGACTTGGCGAGGAGAAATCAAAGATGGAGCGGGAGTTGAAGAAGGTCAAGCAAGCACAAGAGCGCGCACAGGCTCGAATTGCAAGAATGAATCAAATTGAGCAACAGCAGGCACGACAAACAGCCGAACAGCAGCAATTTGCCGCGTGGAGTGCAGAGGAATGTGCTGAGAAGATAAAGAGAGCGCAGGAAAGTCGACGTCGGGCAAAGGAACGCATTCGAATGAAGCGTCAAGAGAAGATGCCAGACGTAACACCACCAAACACTACGCCTGGGAAACTGAACGAGGCGAAATCTTTCCACAAGATGCCCATTAAACGACGGCAAGTGGGTGGGCCGGAAAGGAATGAAGATATTGATGCGAAGCAGCAGCTTACTGAAAGAAAGCTCCGACAGGAAACAGCAGCGCGCTTGCGTCGAATGAAGCAGTTAGCTGATAGCCAAAAACGGTGAGTGGTTTGGCCTGCCGCGGTGAGTTTTCTGTGTTGATCTTCTTATGAATGTGCTTATAATGCAGCCAAGAGCAGCAAGAGTTCGAGCAAAGTCTACAAAGGTATAGAAACAAGCTAAGAGAGATGGATCGCGTTGCGAAGGCCTTGATTAAGCAGCCGTCCCTACCTGACATTAACGAGGTAAGCAATTGATTGATAGAGTAGTTTTCATGCCGTAGTGATCTTACATCCGTTTGTAGCCTACTCTTCTCGAGCCACAGGAGGCCAGCGAGGAGAGAGCACCATTTTCAACGAATTCCGGACGCTCCAGTCCAGTTCAAGATGGATTGGTGTCAACAACGTCAAGTGTAAACCAAGAGCGAGAACCATCTTCGAATACAGATGAACTGAATAATGCACCCAGTCCAGAGAGTCGTCCTGATGAAATTGGGGCATCGTCACCTCGAATAACAGAAGCAAATACTCGGCGAACGAAGACCAGATGCAAGCTGCCAGCGTGGAAGCGACCACCGGTTCCTATGCAACCTGTGAAGTGTTATTCGTACAAAGCGATTCTCCCGGTAGGCTAAGTGGCCATCAAAATCTTTGTACGTAGCTGATTATTCTATTATGTATGTGGTTCTACAGCCGTACTCGCGGGCATCACTGACAGCTCCAGGGCATTCAAGAGCAGCTATCTTGTAATCTTCTGAAACGCGCATTGGATCACAGTAAGTTTACTTTATGCTTAATTGCGTTGAGCTAGCATAGTCGCTAACTATGCTGCGAATTCAGTAAAATGTCGCGGTAATTCAAATAATCATGAACGTGTATTTTCATTTGGCTGATCGTGCAGCCTTGCGCTTTGCTTCCAGTTCTAACTGCGCTCTCTTAGTTTTGGAGTCGCCATTTGGCGTGTAATTGCGGTCGAGGAAGGTTTGCTTGTTGTTTTTCATCGCGATCTGCTTCTCATACGGCAACTGCTTGACCGACTTGTTTATCTTGAGTCGATTAGTCGCTTCAGCCGCCATCTGAGCGTAGATTTGTTCCTGTCTTTCTGCTTGAGCACGCGAGGTTTCAGCCATTCGGGAGGTAAAGCTGTGCTCAATATCCCCCCACGCATTCAGAAAGCGAAACTCGACGCCACACATTTGACACTTTTTCTTCTTGTCCTTGAATTCAGAGTACGATTGCGGAAGACCACACTTTGGACAAGCCTTCTTATCCTGTTGCAAAAATCACGAAAAGAATCTTGGAAACCGTATCAAAAAAAAAGAAAACAGACAAATTCACGTACCAAACGTGCGTTATAGTCATTCTCGCCTCGACTTAAATCAAGTTTCTACAAACCATTAGCACGAATGGTAAGCAATTGTTATACAAATTTGAGCTCCAGATTCCACACTTTTTGGCGATTCCTTTCTGCCGCTTCCATCCGAGAAATAAAGCTTTGACTCGAGTCTCCGCCATCGTCAAAGTCGTCTCTGGAAGATCCTGCACGTTGAGTTTTCTTACGTATTTGGAAACGACAGTGCTGCTCTTCGTCGTCAGTGGCAAATTTCCGAGGTGTTGTCTTCTTGGATGGTTCTGACAGGGTTTCAATTCGTTTCTGCAACAAGTATGTGGCGATAAAAGTAATGTGTTAAGCACCTGAATGCGTTCACTGCAAATTCATCTTCTCGTACTCCGATAGTTCCTGGAATATTACGAGCTTTAGTACACTTGATTGGCGCGGCAGGGCAAGACATGATCCTTACTAGGTGAGGTGGCTACCACCTTATGCCTCAGCTTCTCGATAGTTTTGGTGGCTGTTGCGGCCTTTAACAGTTTTTCCTCGTATATTGCAGATTTCTTGACCCCTGTCAAAACACTTGCTCCAGCAGTTCTGGCACTTAACGCACTGCGTGAGATGGTCGTGATACCGTCTTGGCTTTTGTAAACACCAGTGGATGAAGTCAAACTTGTCGCTGATGGAGATTTAACAAGCGAGTTCTTTGAGTCGGTAAGTGTTGTTACCCTCGGTGAGAGCCTCGCAGACACTTTTGCTGGTTCCTTTGCTTGGTTGGTTTTGGAATCTGTGGCTGTTGCAGGTACTGACGTTTCTGTCGGCTGTAGACGTCCTTCTACTTGCTGAATAGACTGCACTTTGGCTAGCATCTCGGCCAGTTCGGCATCTTCGCTCTCATCGACATCGTCATCGTTAAGATACGCGTTCGCGTAGCTGTCATCTCCATCTTCGCCATCGTTCTCCATTTCATTAGTGAATTCGGTTTCGACTGAACAGTGACTATTTCTGCCCAAGCAAAGAAAACAACCAACTAAGTTATCTCAACTCCATTGAAGCCAAATAAACGACAAACGCTGTGTTACAGAATGCTAACAAAACAGGATGTGGATCACTTGAAGTCTCAGGTGGAGTTCGCGATGGAGGTCTTGCTACGAGCTGCAGACGAGCGCATCAGCTGGAACTCTACAACCCCAGACGCATCAAAGTATGTGTTCTTACCTGGTATTTACACAACCGTGGCACCCCAAACTGCTCCAACACAGCCACAACATCAAGAGGATGGCACACATGATTTGACCAAGATAGCTCCCCTCAAGTCTGCATTGTCAATTCGGTCCTCGATAGCTCAACTACCGTCATCACCTACTCCAGTGGTGACTGATTCCGCTAGTGAAGGCGACGGGAGTAAGATCCGGATTATACTTCATGGTGACAATACGTTCGAGTACGTGTGGACTATGAAGCGTAGCGGTGTTCGTGCGATGGAGTTTGCAGTGGAAATGGAAGGAAGATGGACCAAACCGGTGCTGAATCGGACTCGGAGAGGCCAGGAAGACCAACGTGTCATCCTCTCCGCACAGCGAATCCGCTTCCAACGGTTGTCGAGCTATGGTAGGCTGTCGAATTTCAAGACGAATAATATGCTTGTAAAGTCTCTTACTTATTACTGCTTTGCCCGCAGACACGGAGACCCAAACCTGGAAATTGTGTCTAAGAACGCTTACACGTCACGGTTCCGACTGGGCTAATGTCGGATTAACCGAGCGTGGCGTGCCTCCTATAGTCATGACCTTCCAGTGTTTGACTGGGTGTTTAGAAAGCACAGGTGCCGCTCTTCCTGCTCAGATTTTGTCGAATTCACCTGCATGTCGTATCCTGGCGGGTCTCACAAAGAAGATCGCCAACAAGCTGGGAGCACCCGTGGACGTGATGACCGAAAAATGGTTACCAGCTCGGGGTGTGCGCCTAGCTCTGACTGAGGACGCTGGAGGCGTGAAAGTCAAGCAGTTCAACCCTTTCTACTGGTACGTTGATTGTCTTCGAGCTTTTCGTCCTCGAACACGAAAGAAAGGCATATATCTAACAGTTGACCTCTCTGACTGTTTAGCCTAGCAGACACACTGCGTAGCAACTGTCAGTCGGAGCCATTTCCGTCAACCAGTGCTTAAAACATGCTGCCAGTCCATTTTGCTCGCCGATTCGATGCCTTGCACTCCACTCAACTCCCCAGAACGTGATGCCGCTACGTTTCCTTGCAGTGGCTGCTTTTAGGAGTTGAAAAGCTAACAACGATTAGTGCGGTACAACGCAAATGACCAATGTAAAAGAGTTTAAAAATCTTGCTCTCAATAGGAAAACCTGTATGCGCCATCGGGTAGTGATGACATGGGAGAATCTCAAATGAAAACCCCGAAACTCTAGGCATGTTTGCGCTCATCCTTGTTCTTGGGCATGACACGACGCAGCACGGGAGTGAGCACGCCGTAGATGACAAGTGTGAGAACGGGCATGACGAGCAGCCACATGTAGATGGCGTGCAGCAGTGTGAAGCGGAACTGCAGTAGTGTGTTGATGGTGTCTGTCTTGATGTCCTCCATGAAGCTACCCATGGCGAACTCGCCTTCTCCCTCGCCTCCTCCAAAGACCGCATTACCGTAGTAGCTGCAACAATCAGGACAAGGTCAATACTTGATCTCTTTACGGAGATAGAGGCAGTATCCAGCGCACATGAAGACGGGGACGGACGCGATATTGAGCGGTGTAACGAGATAGTTAGTGAGCATGGCGGCCACAGGATTCAGACGGAAGAGGAAGATAGCGGCCATGACGGGCACCGTCGTAACGCCAGGAATGGGGAAGATTCCTCCTGAGATGCCAAAGGCCATGGCCAAAGCGATGCTGCTGGGCGAGGCTGTCAGCAGAGCAATAATGCGCTTAGCATGGGACCATGGTATAAGGACAGGCATTGAGGCATACCGCCAGACTTGAGCAGCTTGACGACCGGGGCCTTGACCTTTTGCTCGAAGAAGGCGCTCATTGTTGGCTTCCTGCAGCTACGTCACAATTTCCGTTATGAACAGCAGCGCTGGATACTCCGACGATGTAACCACAATGTAACCTCATCGTAACCCTTCAGGTTGCAAATTGTCTTGCCATGGGAAGCGTGAAGACCATACGTCGCTCCTGGCGTTAAGCGTTAAGGTGATCGATACATGTAGCTCGAAGAACGGAATCATGTAGAAAGGTTAAGAGTATGACGTAAAATAGAGAATCAGGGTGTTCATGAATTTTTTTAGAGAACGTTGTTTAAACGTAAAATGTCAATTGCTGCGAGTTTGACACCAACTGCCCGGCCTATAGCTCCTCCTTTCCCTCAACGATCGCTGTTCTTCGCGTCTTGTTCATCTTTCGTCTACTCTAGCATCGTGCTCATTATCTTAATCGTCAAGACCATGAGCTCTTCCAGTTTTCTCTTAAGGAAAGAAACTGAACCTAAACGCCTATGGAACTCCTCAATGTGACTTTCTCTCTTTGTCGGATCTTTGTTGAGCAGCTTGGCCGAGTGGTATCCTACATTTCTGTCTCGCGCCACCGCTATATGTACAAGATTTTATACGCGCCAAACATCGGACAATATGATTGGTCAGTAAAAGTCATCACTTCAACTTGAAGTGATCTATCTAATCGCCGAACCTCAGACCAAGTCGAAGTCGTAGACTTTGTTGGCCCAGGCCCCGTCCGTCACGATCCCGCCGTGGACGACGGAGCATCAATTCTTGCACCTGAAGGTGGCGGTTGGAGCGTGCAGAAGTGGGGGACCGCAACTTACGGCTAAACGAGCTTAGGACGATCCGAGAGATCTACGCTAGAATACCCTGGAAGGCGTAGCAGGAATTTGTTAAACGATAGAGCTCCGAACTAAAAATTAGGTCGTAAAAACAACTTGCAGCGAAGCACTGATGCGAGCCACAGCGTACACAGCGTGCACTGCCGCCCTGGGCCAAGCGCGGAATCGCGCAGCGAATCTCTGGTCGTCTGAATGGTTGCGGAAATACGGACTGCGCATCCGTGTAGTCTTGCCAAGTTGTGACCTAGAGTCGACGGAACGACCAGAGCGTGGTCATTTTCATGATCGACAGTTCCTGATTGGAGGGAGCCACGTGCATTCGTGCAGAGCAGCGGCGGTTATTAATCGGAGTGCCGCGCGAGTGATCCGCCAGCCAGCAGTTTTTCGTACCTGTGGTTGCCTCACTGAGCCATTTGCGCCGCTCTCAACAAGCCCAGCGTATCCACCAGTCTACGTTAGCTCTAGAAATGGAGAGCCCAAGTGCTAGACCAGTGTCACTGACAACCAACTCGTCGCGGAATGCACTATGCGCGCGCTTTGCTACGCTGCGCCGCGTGCTGCGCGGAGAGGAACCGATGGATCACGTGGCAGTGGTGCTCAAGGCCTCACTTACGACGAACATTGTTATCGTCATCGTCATGACCTCAGTGGCCATTGCGAGCAACTCGCTCGCTTTGATCTCGGCATTGGTTGAGAACATGGTCGACCTGTTCGTCCAGGGGCTACTCTGGTACGCCGGTACCCGTTCGGGCAAGAAGCAGGACTACGCCAAGTACCCTGCTGGTACGTCGCGATTCGAGCCGGTGGCTATCATTGTGGCCGCGAGTGTAATGGTGCTAGCGTCGATCGTCTTCATCCACGAAGCGGCCCAGAAGCTCGTCGATGGTTTCTCGTCGGACGAGCCGGAGGCACCGAACCTCTCAGCCGCTGCTATCGCCATTGCAGTCACGGCCGTGGTCGTCAAGATCGGTCTCATGTTCTACTCCGCGTGGATCCTCAAGTCGACAGTCTCGGTCGCAGTCGAAGCTATTCACCAGGACAACTTCAATGACATGCTCAGTAACTCCTTCGCTGTTGCTGCATACATCGTCGCTGCAGTGGAGCCCAAGGCTTGGTACGTCGATCCGGCTGGTGCTATTATCATTTTCGTCTACATCATGGTGGCCTGGGGAAAGATGGCGTGGGAGCAGATCACGCAGCTTGTCGGTGTGTGTGCCAGCGAGGAGTTTATCGAAGAAGTGAAGGAACTTTGCAGCCGCCATCATCCCTCCATGGAACTCGATATTGTACGTGCCTACCACTTCGGATCGAAGTACCTCGTGGAGCTGGAGGTGGTGGTTCCGGGTGAAATGTCTGTCAAACTGGCCCATGATATCGCGCTTCAGGTGCAGTTTAAAGTGGAGAATCTGGAGGAAGTGGAACGCGCGTTCGTGCACGTGGACTACCAGGCTCGTGACTATGACGAGCACGTCGTTTCTCGCGAGGAAGACGCGCTGCTCGTATATGCTGGTTACGATGCGTCTTGCGAGTCCAGTGGCCAGTACGTGAGTGTTCCAATGGAAAACGGTGAGCCAATCCCAGTTGCTGTGGAAGTCAGTGAGACTGCGGCTCCTGGGACTCCCACGGCCACAACCTTTAGTGAGTTTAAGGGATAATACAACAAGTGCAATAGCGGCCACAGCAAGATAATGTGCAATGAAAAATCTAATTGAAGCTGTTGAGTGTTGTGCTGACTTGACACGTCCGGAAATCCGCTCGATTCATTTCTTCCTGCTGCGCTTAAGCCTCTTCTGAGCCGCGAGGAATTCCTCTTCACTGGGCTCACCAGGGTCTCGCGGTGCAGCCTCACGTTTCGATTTCTTGCCTTTTTCAGCGTATTTGGCTTCCAAGCTGCCCAGTAGTGATTCAAACCCGCGCTTCCTGCCCAGCATCAACACATTTTCAGTCAGTACAATGCTCCTTAGATGACACGTTTTGACAAGAACTCTTTACCGTTCGGTACTGAGCGCTCTGCTGCCTGATCCCTCGCCTCGCTTCTGTTGGTTGCCACGAATTTTGTTAAAAAGCTCTTCAGCCTCCCGCGCTTCCTTCTCTCGCTTCGCTTGCTTGCGCTTTTGCTCCGCTGGAGTCTCTTTCTTTTTCTTCTTCTTGGATTGCACCTTCACGTACTCGCGCCACGTCGGGAAATTCTTCACCTGATCTCATCAAATTGAAGACGTTAGGCGATCAATACACCGCCACTGCACCAACTAACACAGTACCCACCCCCTTCGCCTTGATGGCATTCTGAATCATCTCGACAAAGCGCTCTTCATCGTCGTCTGTAGACAGCATGATCGTGTCCATGATATGCTGCATTTCGCCCTCGTATTTGGTGTAGGCAGCCAGCACGTCGCGTTTCTCCTCATCCGAGTGGCGATACTCGCCCTCAAACCTAGTGATATCCTCCTTGGTGACCTTGGGGAACACACGAGCAAAGTACTGCGTCCACATCTGGAACGACGGGGACTTGTCGTCGTGGTCGTCCGACAAGATGGTGCCCGACTCGTCGTACACTGCGCGTGCCTCCTTGTCGCTCAGGATCGAGTGGATGGCACTCACAGCCTGGAACCTGCCCGTCGCCTTGGCACGCGAAGCCTCATCTCCGCGCTGTTTGTCGGGGTGCTGCGAGGTATCATGACACTGTCAGTTGGAGCTTCAACTGGCGATAAAAGTATCTTACGAAAGACGCACAAATTTCAGCGCGAGCTTACGGTACGCCCGAGTGATCTCCTTGTCGGTGGCCGAGCGCTCCACACCGAAAACTGCGTACAGGTCGCAGTCATCCCCGAACTCGGCGTGGATCAGCGCTGCTGCCATCGCTGCTCCTCTTTGTGCTGACGCACTGCGCTAAAATAGCTCCCACCAAAAAAGTGTTTCATTTGTAGAGTACACTATTGTCACACAACAATCGTGTACGAAACGCAACTGTTGACGTGCACCACGTCGAAATCTTCAACTTGGGTCGCTAGACGGCAAAAAGAAAAAAGCAAAGATGATATCGTTCGGGAGCGGAGACTTGGCGCAGGTGGCGATCGTGACGGGGGCTGGCCGCGGTCTGGGCCGTGCATGGGCACAAGCGTTAGCAGGTCGTGGCGTCCGTGTGGTAGTGAATGACAACGACGCCGACCGCTCGCTGGTGGAGGACGTTGTTCAGAGTATTCGAAGTCAAGGAGGCGTAGCTGTGGGCGATCACAACTGCGTTACGGACGGCGCCAAGATCGTTAAAACCGCAATGGACAACTTTAAGCGAGTGGACATCTTGATCAATGTATGGACAACAGCAACTTTTGTGAGAGTGCGGACACAAGGGTGATGGTCTTTTTATTGTGTAGAACGCTACGGTTATCCGCGACGGGTCCTTCCGCAAGATGACGAAGGAGAACTGGTATAGTGTGCAGAGGGATTGGGTGACAGGGATATTATCCACTTACTACTGCTGCTGCTGTCTTACAGGGACGACGTGTACCGCTCGAGTCTACTCGGCACCTTCATCGTGACTCAGGCAGTGTGGCCCATCATGCGTCAACAGAAGTACGGTCGCATCCTCAACTGCGTGTCAGGCGCTGGGCTCTACGGCAACTTCGGACAGGTCAACTACGCTGCCATGAAGATGGGGCTTGTGGGCTTCACGGTGGCGCTCAACCGCGAAGGTCTGCTTGCTGGTTGAACGAGCTTGGAAGTGGAGAATGTTGCCAGATCCTTACGCTATTGTCGTGATTTAATGCTGCATGCCAGGTATCAAGTACAACATTGCAGTGAATGCGGTGTCTCCTGTGGCCGGAACGCGCCTCACGCAGCCAGTGTGGCCCGACGACGTGTACGCCAAACTGACACCGGAGCTGACGTCGCCCATCGTCGTGTATCTGTGCCACCCGTCGTGCAAGGACAACGGTGGGCTGTTCGAGTTGGGTGGAGGCTGGGTGGGGGCTCTGCGTCTGCAACGCACACACGGTGTCGGTTTCCCCACGGACCCGATCCAGTTCACGCCCGAACTCGTGGCTGAGCAGTGGCGTGACGTCGTGGACTTCAGCCGCGTGACCCACCCAACGTCCACGCAGGACTCGTTCGAGCCCATGATGCGCAATGTGACGTCTCCACCAAAGTCTCTGACGACGTCTCGATCCAGCGAGTGCGCAGAAGTGTTCGACCGGTTGCGATCTACCTTGCAGGAGAAGGGTCAATCACTCAGCAAACAGATCTCGGGCGTGCTCGAGTGGCACATCAACAAGGAGGTCTGGACGATCACGTTGCTGAATGGCAAAGGAACGCTGTTGGAAGGACGCAATTCGCGCCTGACCCCGGACCTGCAGATTCACATGGACGAACAGGATTTCCTGGATCTGGCGGCGGGAAGACTGCGGCTGCAGCAGGCGCTAATCCGGAAGAAGCTGCGCTTGCAAGGAAACCTCAAAATGGCCATGAAGCTGCAGCCGTTCGCGGATCTGCTGCTTCAGCAGAACCAGTCGCGACTGTAATGAAGAAGGGAACGAACGAGGTCACAAGTTTACACAGACATTTATAACCAACAAATTACGAATTTTACCAGCAATAAGATGCTGTTCTTGTTGGCGTGCGTGCTCGAAAGTAATAATCGAAAACAGAAGATAACTTATGAACTTCAAGTTTTGGAGCAACTTCATGGCTTCAACCGTGTACTGTCACCTCGAATGGCTAAATCATGGTTATTGATTAGTTATTCGAGCTAGTTCGCGTCTGGCCCTGACTCATTTATAAAATTGTTTCAAGCTTCTGAGGACAATTGATATTTTAACTCCATCTTTTTTTTTGCTCACTCCATGAGACAACAAATGTTGGAGATTCGAAAGTGAGGGCCATGTACAGTGATCCGGAAAAAAAAATAAAAAAAACGAGAAAATATATGGCATAGTGGTATAAAATATTCAGTTTTTATTTTGTAACAATTTTCTTTGCTTTTTCACCATACTTTAACATGGTATGCAAAATGAAAATCTTTGGTAAGACCGGGCTTCTGACCAAATCTGCGCAAAATCCCATACTTTCTGGTCGCACGTATGTGCGCGAGCAAAGCTTCTTGCATGATTTTAGTCCGGATAGTATAAGGTGCCCTAACATGTGAAATCAAAAATTCCAGCACAGTTGTAGGGAACTCCACTGACATGTTAGTTGCTTTTACTACTGTAGACATTAACTAACAGATAGTTCAAAACTATACATGTTAGTATCATAAACAGAGGGACTGTATTACGCATAGGATGCGGTTATCTAGAAAAACGAATGAACTGTTTTGGGGATATGGTTGACATTAGTTTTCACCACCAGTCATCTATACTTTCGACGTAGCTCGGACATTGCCAGACGGGCAATCCGTGTGGACTTTAACGCGTAATGTGCTACAATTTTATCGTTTCTGATCACATTCCAAATCCTTTAAGCCCATATTTCCAAACGACTAATACTTACTACTTCGAAATAATTGTAGCTTACCTTCTTACGTACCAAGATCTGGGAGGACAAATCTTAACTTGCCTTACGCCCATTTTATGCAAATTACCTTACTTAGACTCGAAGTGCTACTGACATGTTTCCTCAAAATACTAGGCACTAACTAACAGTTCGTTAACATGTATGGTAACTAACATGCCAGTGTTAGGGAGTACCATATATTAATGCGTCCAAATATGTATTAATACTTGAGTACTTCGTAACATACATTGTGTATGAATATCACGCAATGGTCGTTGTTAGTATGCTGCGTTACTCCAGCCTTATTATATGATCGACTATATCACCGAGATCTTTGAACGACGGGTTTCCGTTTAATCTCTCGTGTAACTTCAAATGATCTCCGTCCGAGCGCAGTATGAGCATCACTTTGTAGCTCTGATTCAAAAAGACTCAGGCCCAGCGCGCTCTTTTCAACGTTTCCGGAACGCCCGTGACTTTCACAACCACGACAACATCGTGACCTACATCTTGTAGTGAATTTGTCTCCGCGCAAGAATACGTTCGAACAAGAGAGTTACCTGTTCAAGATACTTTCGATCGTTGGGGCGAAGCCGCCCCCCCCCCCCCCCCGTATAATCAAGTTACTATTTTTTTTACTTATTTACAACCTTCTTACGTGACACAAATATAAGGTTTTAGAGGGAGGTTAGGGTTTATTAGTATCATAGCGTTCCCGGGGACCGAAAAATGTGCATTTTACCTGGATACACGAACATTCTACTTTAAGAACATTCCACTGTTGTGGTAAGCAATCGTTCGAATTTCCCTTAGCATAACAGTCTTTTGGTCTCTATCGCGAGGGTTATTTTTAAGGAGACGGTTGGGAGCTAATTCCTTGGACAGCCCCCGAAATAGTCTGGGGAGCGATGATTTCTAGGAAAATTAAATAATTCGTAGGGCACAGACCCCGGCTGTCACATCCAATTAGATGACGAAGAGTCGGATTTACCAGCATGTCGGCCTAAGCAGGGGAGTAAATGGGAGACTATACCTGCAATACCCGATGTGGATCACGTAAGAAGTCGGTAAAAACTCCAGAGCCGCAGGATGCACTCATTGCAGAAGACGACGAGTCGCAACAAGATGGCATGATTCAGGGTGCTGAGTCGTGGCGACAAGGTACAACTACAGGTAGACCTTAAGGGGCCAAGCTGTATGTGGCTGCGGAGCGGTGGAGCTGGCAAAGTCCAAGAATAGCATGAGGGAAGGAGA